TATTATTATTATTATTATTATTATTATTATTATTATTATTATTATTATTATTGTTGCTGCTGCTGTTATTATTTGTGCTGCAATTATTTTTGGTAGATGTATCCGCCTCATCTGACATGGTTTGATTCGTTTGATTATTTGCGTTCTCTGCGTAAATAAATGATGACAAATAAAAATATATAGAATATTTTATTTTAGCCCACCTGGCGATATTGTTGAATAAGGCTCGGCTTTTACTTTGACAGCTTTTAAAGCTTCAATCTGAACAAGGTTTTTTGTCGCTTCATCAGTGTTTGTTGTTGCTGCTGATGTTGATTGGCTGGCGCCTCCTGTTATTGTGGACAGCATTCTCAATAAGCCAACATAGAACACCACAATTTGTGTTCAGCTTCCGAATGTCTATAGATTCCGTTTTCTAACTATTTATTTTATGAAATGTCTATACTAACAGTGGGCTCTGAGATATGAGCCTTATTTTTGAGCTCCCAGAGTTCATTTCAATGCACTTCATTCATTATGCGCTTCCAGTTTTTTTTTTTTTTTTTTTTGATTAAGCCAAATTGTATGGGCACACTCACACACACGCATTAACACATTGACTCATGTGCGCTTGTGTATATAAACGCTTGCACTCAAACAAAACAACAGAAAATTCTGTATACACACAAAACGGACTCATATATACCTACAACACACGCACAAAAATGACACAATTAGCTAAGAAAAATCGTTTTAGTTGTGAAAACGACGCTCTAATTCTGCTCAGTAATTTCGCGCAGTTTTTATCACTCTAGTTACATACAAACAATTATTGCTTGTCGAAAAGAATTGTGATTTTTAATTTGTAAATACAACTCGCCCAGCCACTTGGCACGCTCCTGCTACATACATATATAAAATATACAATCTGTGTTCGAAAATACTAAAAAGTATTATTGTATAGTCGGGTATCGCGCTACGATGCGACTGCTATACGTATTTTACCAAAAGGAACGAGTATTTTCTATTTGAGTATTTTATATGTAGCGAGTGAGCACAGGTAACTTTAAAAGAGTCAATATTAATACAAAAATATAACTTCATGCGATACAAGAGTACGATAGGTCGTGACTATAGATGCATAGTTTTTCAAAATTTCGATAATTGTCTGTATTTGAACTTGTACATATATACATACATACATATGTACATATGTGAGTCGAAATTAAGTAATTCATCATTATTTTCTTGTATGTATCGCAATAATCAATTAATGAAGGGAACCGGTAATCCTAATATTTAGAGACCGGATCGCATACACCCGAATTAGAATTAAAATCAGAATTAAGTCAGCTGTAAACCAGTAAAGATACCCAAGAAATGTAAATGAGGTCTTATTTATCAGTCATTCATTATGTATTAAAGCACTTAATTATTTTTATATTCTAAGAAACAATGTTTAAAATTAAAGAAAACTAAAATAAATGGATTCTTCTATGTTGCAGCTTATTTGGTGCACTTTTCTTTCAACGAATTCATCGCTTTGAAAATTTATAAATAAGTATTTGGTATGACCTCCTTTTAGTTTATTCATCTCTTTTAAACGGTTATTTTTATTGGATATTGAATTTTCCTAAGGGCCACAAGTGGACTGTTCCCGATCAACCAGGTCTGGACAATACCCGATTTATGTTTCGGGTCATTAAGTTTCCAACTCCCGAAACCGCCATGCAGACCCAACCCATGACACTGCCACCGCCATGTTTAATACTTGGTTTTAGGTTGGACAAAATAAAAGTGACTTCAGAACGCTCTACTGGCAAAGAATCTTCAGCGATGTCATTCAAAAGTTAATAAAAAGAGGTGATTAAACTAAAAGGAGGTCATACCAAATATTTCGGTCAATAAAGTTATTGAAAGTGAAATGCACGAAATAATCTGTGAAATGGAAGAAGCCAGTTATTTTAATTTTCTTTAGTTTAATAAATAATAAGCGACTGACTCATATAATTTTTTTTTATATCTTAACTGGTTTAGCGGGAATACGGCTTTAAAATTACAAATTTTTTACACCGCTGCACGAAATAAGCTGTGAGCCACTGTATTCGTAGAATCTTCATACCGTCACCAAATACACGAGGCCGTGTACATACATATGTACATACATACATGCATATGTATGTATGCATGTACATACATAAATCTTAATTGTCATTGTCCTCATCATAATTTATTTGATTTATTTATTGCATTTAGCTTTTTTATGTATGTATAAGTTACTTTTAACTTTAAATGGATTCACGTAATTGTATGTACGTAATGCATTTCTAATATATGTATGTATATGTATGTTGTTTCTCATTTTAATTTAATGTTTTTTTTTTATGTTCCGTTTACATTTTTTGTTTTTGGATTTGTTTTTTTTTTTTTTTTTTTTTTTTTTTTTTTTTTTTTTCCGTTTTCATTTTTTTTTTTTGGATTTTTTTTTTTTTTTTTTTTTTTCATTTTTTATTTATTTTTAGATTGGTGATATTTTAGACTAAATTGACTAGCAAAGTTCTTCTGAGTATTCGCAGCGTGTTCATGTGTTTCAATAACTATTAAACAATAAGATGCATTAAATAATACATACCATACATATGTATGTATGTATGCTATCATATGCATATATGTACATATGTATATACATATGTATTTATGTACACCATTATAGGTGTATACTATGTATGTATGTATTTATGTACATATGTATATACATATACATACATACATATGTACATATATATATAAAGTCATTCGTGCTACTTGTATGTATGTATGTATCTTCCGTGTTGCTTCAGAGTGCAAAATAAAAAACACTCACATTTGGTAACTGAGTGTGTTTGTGTGGGTCTTCATTTATATATGTACATTTCTATAAATTTACATAAACATATGTATGTATGTATGTATATACTTACAATTTCGATTAATGTCTTTACATTAAAATATTTACATTTTTTACATACATACATACATACATATACATACATACATATGTATAAATATATACTTTAATATTGTATTTGGATTTGTAGTTGTACCTTATTCATTTTATAAATTTGACTAGACTTTTTCATACAAAGTTTGCATCACTCGGCTCAGAAAATTTACATATGTATGTATAAATGTGTATATATGTATGTACATACACATACATATACTATGTTGATGATCTCGAAAGTAAGTTTATTTCCGCATCATCTCCCACTTAGGTTAGCTAGGAAATTAAGACAGTTTTAATAGAAAAAAAAGTGCTCGAAAATTAGCGGAATTTCATAATCAGGTACTAACGGAAAATCATGTATATTAATAAATATGTATGTATATACATATATGAATACTCAATGATGTTACAAAAAAAAAAAAAAACAACAAAAAAATATATATATATATATATGTATGTACATACATACATACGTGCATACATATGTACATATATTCAGTTATGTTTGTACTATATTTGTGTACACTATAAGCGGAGTCGTTATGTTCGGATTCCACTGAATATATGTATATATATATATATACATACGTATGTATGTACATACACAAATTTATTATATTTAAAAACATTCTCGACTTCGAAATCCCCTGAACCCTTCGAAGAATTGATATTTCACAATAATTCTTCGCGTCTTTCTGCTTTCTGGTACACAGAAAAACATAAGGATGCAAGCATTAACACGCATTGGCTGTAGTGTGGGCTTAATGTGGAAACCTAATTGCTTGATAACTTTTCTAGTTAATGGACTATGCCCATGATCAGATCGTGATAATAACATTAAAGTGCGTGTATGTGCCAAAGCACAAGGCTCTAGTACTTGAAATATGCCATTTACAAAGGTGATGGTGAGGTGGTGGATATAGAATTGGGGGTAATTTACAAAAAAAGTCGAAATTATATAAATTACTTATGTGTTTACATTTAAAAATTGGCGACTCCACTTCAAAGGGTGTAGGCGATATAATTAAAAAACTAGCTTTCGATAAGGTTTTTAGTCGATAACAAAATAAAGGGTTAACGATTTTTGGTGATAAACTTAATATGCGCACTGAATATACGGACATTTAAAAAAAAGTTTGAAGTCTCTAGCTCTTATATCTTCTGAGATCAACATTAAACATACAGACAGGCGGACAGACAGACAGACGGAAAGGGCTAAATCGACTCAGCTCGTCGCCCTGATCAAAAATACATATGTACGTTGTGGTGCCTGCCACGCCTCCTTCTTTCTGTTATATATATTTTAACAAAACCACTATACCCTGATTTCCCATTTTCAATGGGTTTAGGGTATAAGAATATAAAAACCTAATACATTAATTAAGTCAGTTCCAGTCGAGAGTGCTTGTTCTATGGTTAGAGCTGAAGTACACCCTCAACCTACCGCAGAACTGCTATTTCACTGCCCACTATGTGGAATAGCTTGTCGAATAGTTGTCAGCATATGTATGAATATCACATCGAGATGTGAGTACATGTACATGATGTGTATATACCACGCAGTTTAATTTTTATAGCCGCCCACGTAATGAAAATGAGTATTTTGGTTTTGTCGAAATTCCGGCCGTCTGTTAATATACATATATATTGCCAATATTCAAGAGCCTCAGACTTGAAAATTGCAGAGATTGTGATGGATTTGGACAAACGGACATACAGAGACGCGCACCTATGGATGAATGAACACCGTTTTATCAACTCGGATTCTGATCAAGATTATTAATAAAGGTTTAATTTTGAAGAGGAGCCTGAGCAGGAACTAAAAAACAAAACAAAACAAAACCAAGACTAAACATATCACAAACAAGTAAGAGAAATTAAATGTTAACGGCTTTTTTTTTCAAACAGAAACTAAACTAAACTAACTGAACTAAACACCTAAAATGACATCTAAAAATCCCAAAAGAATGACCTAAAAATCTTTTGTAAAATTTAGCGTATGTCTTATTGAATAGGTTATTCTGAGGATGTTTTGGGGCTTTGTACAAACTTTAACAAAACGGTTTAAGAAAGAAAAATAAATAAATTTTGCCTATGGAAGAGCTCCCGCCATCTCTCTTTCTTTCTTTCTTTTTGTTTGCTTAGTGAACTAAGAACTCATTTACATTTCGTACCCAAACGAACTGTCAAGCGTTTGACTGAATTGATGCCGGCTAGCAAATTGTCATCCACTTCTATCGACTTATTGAAATACTCAACGCAATCGATAGCACCTAAACTATCAATTGACCACTCAGCTCTTAATGTGTGCAAATTTCGATTCAAGTCGATGCCGCTATTTTTATCACATTTAGCATTGGCAAAGTTGCGTTTCTTCTTGTGGTGATCCTGCTGCTGTATGTTCTTCTTTTTGTTGAATTTGAAATGGTCCTTTGAATCGACATAGGCGTCAAGCTTACAGGAATTTGGTGTTAGCTCTTCGTCTAGACATTCTCCGTTATGTCACAATATGTCATCGTGCTGCTCGTGCTCATCATCATCATGATCATCAACTAAGAAGTCGTGGTGCTCTAACTCCAAGTCCATTTCACCATTATCCTCGAAATTGCCCAAAGGTGACATTGCTGTCGTGTGCAGGTTGCCATAGTGTCCACTAATTCGCTCTTCTTCCTCCTCCTGCTGCTGGTGCTGAGGCTGTTGATCTTGCTGGTTTTGGTACTGGTGCTCGTGTTGCTGTTGGTGCTGGTGCTGTCTACTATGCGAATGTTGTGAATTCTTATTATCGTCGTCGCGCCATTTGTCCATTGAGCGTCTTCGCGCATTCATAAAAAAGTTGCCCACTGTCGTTGGCTCCAATCCAAGCTGGCGTGCAATCGTAACTTGCATCTCCTTTGACGGCCTCTTTGTTTCCTGAATAAGCCCCACAAATTTCAGATCAGTTCATGATATGCTTCGTGCCACCTCATCGTAAAGCCCCGCATACTTACCTTAAAAATTGCTTGTAGTGTCCGTCGCTGCAGATCTGTAAAAACTAAACGGGGCTTTTTCGGTTGCGGCATTTGCTCTATATGCGGCTCCTCTTTGCGACGACAGCTGGAGACAAGACCCGAACTGCTTAGCATTGCTGAAAGAGAGTTGCAAAATTGACAGATTAGCGCCAGGCACTTTACGTTAAGCCCAATGATCTGAATCTTCACAATGTCCATAATGGATGCATTTTTTCCCCTTAACGCCGAAAATGATTACATACATACATACATATGTATATTAAATTATTATTATTAGTTTTGAGTAAAGTGAAAAGTAGAGCGAGTTTCGATTATCAAAAATGGAAATTCTATAAAGTACATAGGAATTAACATTTAAATTTTGGCGACCAAAAATAATGGGATGAATTATCGCATTTCTGGAGATAAGCTCGATATCCGCGCTATATATACGGACATATAACAAAAATAAAACCAAACCTCTAGCTCTTATATCTTCTGAGATAGACGCGTTCATACATATGGGCCGAACCAACTCAGCTCGTCGCCCTGTTCAAGAATGTACAAGATGGATATACTGGTGGGTAAATTTTAGCAAAAATCGAAATTGTATAAAATGCATCTTAATATACATACATTTTAAATTTGGAGACTCTAGCTCTAAAGATGTGGGTTTTTATCGATAAAAATATCGGAATGAGTTATCGTTTTTTAGTAATAAACTCGATAGGCGCGCTGTATATTCTGGCATTAAAAAACAAAATTGAAGTCTCTAGCTCTTCTGAGATCGACGCGTCAATACATACGGACAGACGGACGGACAGGCAGACGGACAGGGCCAAATCGACTCGCCTTGATCAAGAATATATATACTTTGTGGGGTCTGCCACTCCTTCTGCCTATTACATACTTTTAACAAAACCATTATACCCTAGTTTCCCATTTTCAATGGGTTCAGGGTATAAAAATTGATATCAATCTGACTTGGGGGAATTACCGATGGATGTTTTCCAAGCTGATTGATTGATCGAGAAAATCAAATTGAGACGTTAGCTCTATTTACCAGGCCTGAGTTATTTTAGGCTTTACTTACCATTTGTTGCAGTGCTTGATCCATGCGTCGTCCCTGAACTTTCGTTGGTATGCAAAGTGGTCGATGGCGTTACTGCAACTGAGCTCGTTCCTGAAACGATTGTCGAGCCCGAGCCAGGCGGCGTTGTTGATGCGAATATGATGTTGGCGTTACCGGATCCAGTTCCAGCTCCTGCTGATGGTCGCTGGGGTATTTGAGCAGCAGCCATTCGTAGTGCAGACATCCGCTGAAATTCTGGCTCCTGCAGCCATTTGAACATGCGTCGAAAGGTTTCACGACCCGATTTCAGTTTCGACCAGGGCTTTGGATTGCGCAACAGATCGGACAGAGTGCCCTGTGAACGACATAGCACCCGTTGGGCAAATATTGCCTGAGGTATGCTATAGCGCTTGAGCTCTGCAGAAATGCGCTGAGCCAACTCTTTGGTATTTATCTCTTCCATGTCATTCGGAGCAGCAGCTGTCGAGCGTGATACTGGATTAGCGGCAACTCCACCCAACTTCGGAGACAACTTCTGTTGCTGCTGGTGTTGTAGCGGCTGCGCTTGATCTGAATTGAAGCCATTTTGCTGATGTTGCTGTTGATTTATGTTGCAGATATCGAGACTGTTGAGAACATCATTCTTCACATGGCAATCCGCGTTGCTGCTGTTGTGCTGACTCTTAAGCTGTTGCTGGACCAGCTCGTCGATCGAGCTATCATTGCCACCCACTGTGGTCGGTGTTGGTGACATGTTGACAACGACTGGCAAGTCTGCACTTAAATTGTTGACCGATCCATTAATGTGGGGCAGCGTTACTACAGAGGCCGGCGAGTGTAAAGACATGGAGACAACGGAGGCTGCTGAAACCGAAGGGGAGCTGAGTGTTGGACTATGCTGGAGCCTTAACTGAGCGTTGCGATCTGTCGTATCGGCTCTAGACATGAGTATCTCTTGGTCAGGCTGTTGGCTAGGACGATATGATGCTTCATAATCAGCTATGCTAGTAGCTGTTGTTGGCGAGAGGCAAATCACCTGCTTTTGTATAGTCACTCCTATGGATGCCGTCGATGCCTTATGCAACTGCAGATGACCACCAGCAGGAGAGCCATTCACTGGGGAGGACACCGTCGAGCTGTGACTTTGCAGATCGCATGTATTAACCAAGCCAGAGAGTCCTTGTGACGGCGAGCTGGCGTAGGTGTGAGGCGTAGGTGATATCAGTGAAGGCAATTTATCGTACGAGTTTGAATATGAAGACTGCACGTCCGAGACCAACCCACTTAGGTTCAAATTTGACAACGAGCCCTGATGTGTCGCCTCAATCGGCAAGGGCAAGCTGTTGGTAAACGTTTGATCTGAATTGCTATTGCTGCTATTATTATTATTATTCGATCGAATTGTTGCATTGTTGTTGTTGCTATTCCCGTTGCCTGAGTTGATATGTCCACCTGCATAGGCGAATTTATCGGACATTGTCGAAATTGGGGGCAGCGGCTGAATTGGTGTTAGCGTAGCATATGATGTCGGACTGAAACTCGGCTCTGATATGCGATGATTGTTGACTGAAGTCAATGTTTGGTAGGTGCTATGCTCGACGGTCAGTGGCGGACTAAGCGATTGACTAGCCGAAACGTGTTCATCAACCTCCTCATCATCGTCATCAATGTCATCATCATCGTCATCGTGAGTCTGAACAATTACTGAAAGCGATTCTCTATGAGATCCTTGACCCGATGCTAACTGACGTTGCTGTTGATGCTGCTGCTGCTGATGATGATGATGAATTATTTCGGATGTAGTAACCAGACGCTGTCCGTATTGTAAGAGATTCTGTTGATGATGCTGGTGTTGCTGCTGCTGCTGAAGGTTGTGCTGGTGATGTTGATGATGATGCTGCTGTTCATCAAGCAGCTGTTGATGGTGCTGATTTAAAGTAACTTCCTCGATGCCATCTGAGGACAATTCATCAATAACATTCACATGCGACATATTAAGGCCAAGGTGAGGACTGGTGCGTCGATTAATGATCCTATTGGTATCCGGATCCCGTTGCACTATGACCAGTTTGTGCTCCTGCTTAACGGCTATGATTTGCGTTGATAGGCCATCCAAACTTATGTCATCAGAGCCATCGAATTCAACTGGACTAACGGGTGGCTCATCTGCATGGTGCATGGGCAGTAAGGATAGAGCCCTGGGCCCATCCTGTAGTTGCAGTTGTTCAGGCACTAATTGATACGTTGTCTGCAAAGTGCTGCCGCTGCCCAGTTCGTCGATTACCATGACCACAGATGAACTGTGCTCCGCCCCTTCCTCGCCGTCCTCCAGTTCATCTGCATTGTCCTCATCACCGTCATGTATCCGGCCAACACTGTCTGTGCTTGCGATCAACGTCTGCAGTGTCGGCGACTTTACGTACTTCATTCCGTTCAATGCATCTGACTCACCAGTCGGCGTCTGATTCAGTTTTTGTGTTCTCTCCTGCCCAACCTCTCCTATGAACTCAGTTGTTTCCACGATCAATTGCTGGTGGCTGAACGCTTGCGAATCAATTATATCGTTCATGGATTCCATTCCTCGTATATCTCTTTTCCCAACGAGAGTAGCTTAGGTAACAGAAACTTTTGAGCCCGGTTCCTGATTTTAGCTACCAGCTTAGTGTCTCAACTGCAATAAGAATAACAATAGCCTAAACTGAGGTCATTAAAAACAATGAAGTAGTAACATTGGAGGATCTGAGTTAACATTGTTAATATATAAAACAAGTAAGAAAGCTCTAGTCAAGACTGCTCGACAACGAGATCCCCTGAACCAAGCAACTGATACTTCAATAATAATTAGCACACACACACACACACATCAAGTGCCCATCTTACCGTGAAGCTGCTCGTAAAATGAAATGTTAAGGTTCTTGCAGCTTAAC